GATTTGTTGTTCCACCCATCCATGTATTCATTGGTTGATTCTTGTATGTGACCCAGGATCAAACCTGCAACCTTGGTGAATCAGGACAAACTCCAAACAATTGAACTACAGGGCCAGGGCAAGTGTGTCCTTAATTTTAAGAGATACCTGCTGAGCTATAGGGTAGAATGTTGTGATGTTTACAATTTACTCTCCAGTTGTTCATTGAAAGAAAGAAAAGGAAAGAAGAGAAGAGAAGAGAAGAGAAGAGAAGAGAAGAGAAGAGAAGAGAAGAGAAGAGAAGAGAAGAGAAAGAGAAAGAGAAAGAGAAAGAGAAAGAAAACTATACACACACACATTCATATGCAGATACATAAAACTTAAAGTATTCATTAAATCTAGATGGAAGGGTATTCAACTGCTCTGAATATATACTTTAAGAAAATGTATATTCTATGTGCTTCAACATTTTCATAATAAAAAGAGGTGAAATGATCATTAAAACCGGGCCCCCGCTAGGCAAATTCCTAATTTCCCACACAACCTATCTTTATGGCCCCGGGAAAAGAAAGCTCAGTCTCTAAGAGGCTCTCCCCAGGTCATACACTGAAGAGCACAGGAGTCTTTTCATTAACATGTATTTACTGAATACCTACTATGTGGTGAGCACTGTTGTAGATAATGGGGGTACAGCTCTGGACAAGGCTCACAGGGTCTTATTTCTTATGGATCAGGGGTGGGGGTGGAGAGAGAAGAGAAACATGAAAAGAGGTGACATGGCCCTGGCCAGTTTGGCTCGGTGGTTAGAGCGTAAGCCTGTGGGCTGGAGAGTCCCGGGTTCGGTTCCCACTAAGGGCAGGTACCTCGGATGCGGTTTGTTCTGGGCCGGGTTGCGCTCGTGTGGGTGGCAATGATGTTTCTCTCTCTCCCTCCCGCTCTATCTGAAGATAAATGCAAAAACGTCCTCTGATGAGGATTAAGTTTTTTTTTTTTTTAAATTAAAATGAAGAGGTGACATGGAGTCGAGGCGGGAGCGCCCTGCTGGAAGAGCGTCCACGGAGCCAAGGGCCAGCGAGGCAGGGTGGGGAGCGCTGGCTGCGGCCCCGGGAGGCCAGTGCAGCGAGCTGCATGCGGTCTGGAGTCAGGTAAGCTTCCAGGCCCCTCCGAACACTCCCTGGACCGTGGATTTTCATTCTGAGTAGGATGTCAAGACCCTGGAGGATGAATAAATGATTAAGATAATCTCTGCTTCCATTCAGTGACTTGAAGAAAACGAAATACGAGGGGATTAATAAAGGGCCTCGGGGAGAGAGGTCTGCAGCCAGTGGTCCCGGAGAGCCTCCCTGAGGAGGTGACTTTGGAGCTGAGACCAGAAAGTGGAGAAGGAGCTAGGAATTCAGCGGGCTGGGGGAAGGGAGAAGGAAGGAGGTCGGGGCCTGGGAAATGAAACCAGAAGCGAAGCCACCGGGCCCTGCAGGCCTGGGGAGGAGCCTCCGCCAGCTGGGGTGGGGGGGGGTAGGGGGAGCGCCCCGCCCCAGCCGGCAGCCCCACCCGGCCTCTGGGGAGGAGGAGGCGCCGGGCCGGCTCCAGGCTGCCGCCGCCTCTGGGTATCCCGCGGGTGGCCAGCCCAGGGAGGAGGGTGGACAGGGGGTAGGGGCCCGGCCTCCCGGGGCACGCCCCGAGGTGCCCGCGGCCCACACCCCACCGCGAGACGGCGGGGAGGGCAGGTTGGGGAACGTGGACTCTGCCCTGAGGGACCCGGTTCCCTCTGCCGGGCCAGCCTTTACTTCTCTCTCCAGTTCTTCAACCGAGCAGGAGCTGGGCCTCTCTGAGCCTTGGTTTGTTCACCTGTGAAGTGGGGGTGCTTCTCATACTGGCCTTGCTGTTGTTATCTTTATGACAGTTAAAGAGAGCCTATTTAAAAGTGAGTCAGGTGTGGTTCCCTCTCTGCTCAAAACTGTCCCATGGCTTCCATCTCACTCAGGTTCTTCCTGTGGGACTTCCACAGACCCTGTACAGTTTGTTCCCCTCATCTAGTTCTCTCTCCTTCGCTTGCTCTGCTCCAGCCACACCGACCTCCTTGGTCCAAAAACTCTCCATCATGCTCTGACCTCAGGGCCTTTGCACTGGCTGTTCTCTCTGCCAGGATCGGTTCCCCAGAGATTCATTTGGCTCACTTCTCACCTCCTTCAGGTCTTTTCTTTTTTTTAAATCCTCACCAGAGGACATTTTTCCATTTTTTTGTTCAGATAGAGTGGGAGGAAGAGAGAGAGAGAGAAAAAAAACACATCGACATGAAAGGGACACACGCACGACCCAACCAGCGCCAGGGACAAACTGCAACCCAGGTACGTGCCCTTAGGAGGAACCGAACCCGGGTCTCTCGGGACCTCAGGCCAATGCTCTAACCGCTGAGCCAAACCAGACAGGGCAGGTCTTTTATTTTCTTTTCATTTTTTTAATCCTCACCCGAGGATATTTTTCTGTTTATCTTTATCTTCAGATAGAGTGAGAGGAAGGGACAGAGAGGGAGACAGAAAGAAATATCTACTGAGAGGGACACATTGACTGGCTGCCTCCCACACAACCCCAACCAGGGCCAGGGACCAACTGCAACCCAGGTACATGCCCTTGACTGGAATCGAACCCGTGACTCTTCGGACCGTGGATTGACACTCTAACCACTGAACCAAACTGGCCAGGGCAGGTCTTTATTCAAATGGAAGTCATCCCATCTATATAGCGACACCCCCATAACATTCATGCTTTCTTTTTCTCTAGGGCACTTATCACCACTTGACACACTGTACATGTTACTTTTTGCGTTTATTTCAGCCTCCCCCTGCTATGATGCTGTGTGAAAGAACTGCCCCTTTTACTCACGTGCCAGGAAGAGTGCCAGGCCTATAGTAGGAACTCAAAAATTTTGAGCAATTATTGGAATCGTCGGTGTGCATCAGGCCCGTTTTACACACTTTGCAGGATTGCTCGGCGAGGCAGGTATTACTCCAGGTCTTGCAGTTGAGATGTTGGTGTTTGAAGAACACAGAGAATGGTGTGGCTGGAGCATAGGGGTGAGGGAGTGTTGAGATGAGTTGGGAGAGGTGGAAGGGAGGGTTGGCCATAGCAGCCAAGAGTTAGTTTCTCACAATAGCTAAAATAACTTTTTTTGAGTGCCCATCTGTGCCAAACATAGTTCTATGCATCAGGAAATACAGCTGGACTAAGACTGACAAAATCCCTTCCCCTGAGTTTCCAATAGGCCAGGAGGCTAACCGTAAACAGGTAATAGTAAGTTGAGATTGAGTAGGTGCCACTAAGAAAGTCAAACAGAATGTGGGGATGGTGTGCATTGGGCATTAACTCAGAGAAGGCAGGCTTCTCTGAGGAGTGTCCTCTGGGGACTTAACAACATGTGCAAAGGCCCCAGGGTCAAAATGAGCTTGGGATGAAAGGAGACCAAAGTGGTTGGAGGTGAGGGAGGGAAGAGAAAGCAGATTAAACTGGGCAAGTTAGGAGCCAGATTGTCAGGTCTCACAGGCTTTGGTGAAGTTGGGGTTTTCTACTGTGTGAGAAGTCACTGAGAGTTTAAAGTAGGAGTAAGACCCATATCAAGATGTGGACATTAGGTGCCTTCTTGAGATCCTCTTGCCCACCTCCTTTCTTGATTGGCACACACCTGTTAAGGTTACTCCACTGCTTTCAGATTTAGATGCAATAAATACTCTTCTCGCAGTGAGAATCTGGCTTTGAGCCAGAAGCACAGGCAAAATCCCCCTTTCCCTGCCTGTGGTTCTTCCTTGGAACCCTTCTAGAAAAGTCCCTCAAGCTGTGTAAACTCACTTGCTGCATGTCAAGGCTTTGTCGAAGCATAGACAGCGCAGCAGCCACGTTATCACAGTGTATCTTCCCTGGTCTCCTTTCCCTCACTCTCACTAGCCTGGGCCTGCACCTCTCAAAGAAATCCTTAGAACCAACTTTGGCCTGGGCCGTGCCTCCTTGCCAACTGTATTTTTTCTCCTCTGGGTCTCAGCAGCACATTTCATAGAAAGGGTTCTTTTTATTTTTATTTATTTATTAAAAAATTTTTTTAAAAAAAGGAAGTGAGAGGGATAGAAACATCGATGAGATGGAACATGGATTGGCCGTCTCCTGTATGCCCCCCACTGGGGATTGGGTCCACAACCTGAGCATGTGCCCTGACTGGAAATCGAACCTGGACCTCTCAGTCCATGAGCCAACACTTAATCCACTGAACCACACCCGCCAGGGCGAAAGGGTTGACTTTTTAAAGAAAAATGTTTTTATTGATTTTTTTAGAGAGAAAGGGAGATGGAAACATCAGTGAGAAATATCAGTCAGGTGCCTCCTGCATGCCCCCTACTGGGGATCAAGCCTGTAACCTGGGCATGTGTCCTGACTGGGAATTGAACCTGGACCTCTCAGTCCGTGGGACAACGCTCAATCCACTGAGCCACACTGGCCGGGTGAAAGGTTGACTTTTAAGTGCCAGAAAGCCCTATCCTTTGACACGTAATTCATGTGACTCAGTTTCTCCCTCTTGTGTCTACCCATGTGGCTGGGGAGACAATTAAGAACCAGGCTCTGGAGGAAGATAGTTTGAGTCCTGGCTCCCCGATACTTGCTCTTACTAGCTGTGTGACCTTGAACAAGTGACTTGGCCTCTCTGAACCTCAGGCTCCTCCTATATAAAACATGATTACAGTATCTACTTCTATAATTGTGAGGATTAAATGACTTAATTCAAATAAAATGGGTAGAACAGTGCTCTAACAAGCACTCAAGAAATGTTACATTTAATTGTATACCTGCCCCAACTTTGACAGGGAAGGGGTACAGGTGTTTAGGGAACTTACCAGATCCCTCCCATCGACTCACTGAAGTTTACAAACTTTAGGCAACATCATCCCTTCCAAAATATTTTTATTATAAAAAGAATAATTACAATCAAAACCTACCCCCATCCCACCCCCAAACCACCACAAAACCTGCCTGCCTTTCTTTTAAATAATGCGGCATGGAGCAGTTTGGTTTCCACCTATTGCACGTGGTCCGGCCTGGTTATGAATCAGGAGGCTGCTGGGACTGGGGTCCTGCCAAGGAGGTGGAGTTCAGCCTCGGGGGAGGAGGCCAGCCCCTCTTACTCCTTCCAGATACAAGAGGCAGAGCCTGGGTTTCCAAAGCGACCAGGCAATAGGTCCCTGTCATTTTTTGACAGGCCCAGCTTATCTTCCCTGAGGCCCCAGTGGTCACAAGAGGAGTAACTGGAGGGGAAGGCAGAAGAAATGTGGAAGTGGGAAATCAGACTCCCAGAAAGAGTCTCATTAAGGCATTTGGAACAGATAAATTAATTCAGGAAGACCCACCTTCACAGAAGGCTTCGGTAACCAGACACACACACGCAAGACAGTTTGTGGAACCCTGAAATGGGAGGAAAGGAGGCCAGCCACTGCTTAAAGCCTCCACCAACACACACACACACACACACACACACACACACACACACACACACACAGTTGCAACCAGGGATCCAACCCACTGAGGCTGAGATGTGGAGGCAGCACACTCCAACCATCCAAGTTTTAGGATCCCAGAATTATTTCCATGATGTGATCTAGTTCATTCCACTCCCAGGACCCTGGAGCACAGAAGAGGTTGTGAGGAGGCTCCGGTGGGGCCAGTGCAGGCTCCTTCTCCACTGTGGATGTGTCAATGTCCAGGAAAAAGTCATCCAGACTTGAGTCCCCCAAGTACCGAGAGCTTAGAGCTTCTAAGAAGACTGGGTCAGGCTGGGTCAGCACTTCATTCTGGGGGTCTGGGGGAGCCACTGGATTTTGAGGTGTCTCAGTCTCGTCCATGGAAGTCTCCAGCTCCCTGAGAATAGAGCCAATGGTGGTTGACAAGGAGAAGTCTTCCTCGCCCAGGAAGAGGGGTTCAGGGGGCAGGGCAGGTGCAGGAGCCAGGCAAAGTGCGGCCTGGAGCTGCTGGAGGGTATTATGGATGAGGACATGCCTTCGGAGGCTAGGTGCTCGGGGGCCCAGGCTTCGCTGGACTTTGTCTAGGGAGATTCGGAGCAGGGCTTGCTGATAGCTTCGAAGGCCTGCTGGACTCCAGTCCCACTTCTCATCCTCCTCCTCCTCCTCCTCCAAGTCGGAGTGTTTCCTCTTCAAGCCTCCTACCATGATGCCCTGTGGAGAGAAGAGGGACAAGTCAGACATAGTAAGACTAGTTCAAATCTTGTAAATATATTGAGTGCCTACTATATTGAAGTCACTAGTAAATCTCCTGTATGGTTGTAGTTTTTAATGATCTGAACTTCAGTTTTTGCGTCTATAAAATGGAGATAGTATGAATCCCACAAGGCTAAGGAGAGTAAATGTATGTGACTAAGAAAACAAGATCTGGCCCTAGTCAGAGTTGCCCAATGGTTAGAGCATCCGCCCGCACACCAAAGGGTCTCAGGTTTAATTCTGCTCCAGGGCTTGCAGGTTCGATACCCTGTTGGGGCATGCGCAGGAGGCAACCAATCCATGTGCCTCTATCACATCAATGTTTTTTTTTCCTCTCTCTCCCCCTCCCTCCCTTCCACTCTCTAAAAACTGATGGAAAAATAATCCTTGGGTAAGGATTAATAATAACATAAAATTTTTAAAAGTTAAAAAAGAAAACAAGACCTGGATTCAGCTGGGTTTAAATCCTACTTACTTGCCTGGGTCACCTGGAATAGTGAGCTTTCCTCCTTGAAACTCAATTTCCTCATCTCCGAGATGAGGATCTTAACTCATACACCTCTGAGCCTTAAAACTATTCTTTCCACAGTACTCATTTAAAAAAAAAATTTTTTTTGCCCAGCTGGTGTGGCTCTGTGGTTGAGCGTTGACCCATGCACCAAGAGGTCACCAGTTCGATTCCTAATCAGGACACAAGCCCAGGTTGTGGGCCAAATGCCCAGTGGGGGGCATGCAGGAGGCGGCCAATCAATGTTCTCTCTCAGCGATGTTTCTAGCTCTCTCTCCCTCTTCCTTCCTCTATCTCTAAAAAAAAAAAAAAAAAAATCAATAAAGAAATTAAAAAATTTTTTTTTTGATTTGAGAGAAACATTGACTAGCTGTTTCACTTATTTATGCTTTCATAGGTTGATTCTTGTATGTGCCCTGACAAGAGATCCAACCTTCAACTTTGGCATATGGGGATGACGCTCTAACCAACTGAGCTACCTGGCCAGGACTTCTACAGTACTCATTTCTTCGAATTCCACACATACAAGACAAGTGTGGAATAGAGACCTAGACGAAAGCAAGGAATCCTCGGTTTCAATTCTGCTCAGCTGTGTGATCTTGGGAAGTGATGTAACATTACCTCTCCGGCCCTCAGTTTCCTCATATGTAAAATGGGGATTGTAAAAATTCTCACCACATCGTCAAGGAGACCCCACAGGGCTCACCACACGGCAAAATGCTTACTAAACAAGTTAATTGTCATTTATTCAATCAATAATTTTACTCATTGAGTGCCTACTATATTCAAGCCACCTGGAGCCCTGTTTGGGAACCTGTTTGTTGGGACTCTCCTTTCAAAGTATATTTCTATCCGTGCCCTTTTCCTAACTAACTGAGCGCGCTCAACTGCAGGGAAGGGGCCTCCCTCATTCCCTCCGCCCGCGCCTTAAGCTTCCCCCAGAGCGAGGCCCCATAGAAAAACTTGCTAGAACTCGACTCACGCCAAACCCCGCCTCCTTCCGACCTATCCAACCGGACGTCGGCCCTGTACGGTCCCGCCCACCCCCACGGAGCTCAATTCAGCAGCCAGCCACGCCCCAACTTGGTCCTAGGGCTTCTGGGAAATGTGGGCCAATAGCCTCCAGGTACACACGCAGACTTGGAGCGTGCACTACAATCCCCAGAGCGCGCCGCTCACCACAAGAACTTCCACCGCCCTCCCTCAGGGCATGCGCACAAACTCCCGGGTCTGGTGGGGGAAGGGAACCCGGACGTCCAGCTGCCTGGCGCCTGCCGAGCCCCGCCCTCCACTGCTTTCAGGGCGGCGGGTCAGAGCTCCGCGCCCGGAACACCCCTCCCCCACCCCAGGCTGCAGCTCTAACACTCCTTTCTCCCGTTCCTTCGGACCCCAGAACGTCCTGGAGTCTCCCCCCAAACTGCTCTCGGGCCCAGAGACCCAGGCCCCAACACACCGTTCAAAGACTACAAATGCTCTCCGATCCACTCCGCTCGGGACACTAGGTATCTCAATTTTGAGACCTTTCCCCGACTACTTTCCCCTATTCTCCTGTCTTTCAAACGTCTCTCGACTTCACCTCCAAACTTTCCCATAGGGCTCCAAGACCTGAGCAGGGAACTCTCCCAAGCACCCTCTCTCTGCCACTACGCCTGGGAAACCAGGACAACTTGCCCCTAGTTCTCTCGCTTCTCCAAATGCCCGGATCACAGTCCAACTCCTCACACCTTTTCCAGCACACTAGACCCCCGAATTCAACCCCTCCGGGAGACACGAATTGTCCCAATCTCCAGATTCCCTGCCCCAGAAGTTCCTTCCTTGCTTCTCTCCCTTCTCCAAATACCCCAGGTCCTAGCTTCAAACTCTCTCCACTTGAAGATCCTGCCCCAACAACTTCGCCTCCGGTGCAGGATCTCGAATTCAGTCTCCGGTCCCCAAACCCTATCAGTCACCCTGAATCTGCGCTCCCCACTCCCACCAAGACTCCACCTCCACAACTCTCGGGGCGCGCCTCCATCTCCCCCAACCCAAGGCAGGTCTCAAGCCGGGCAGCCACCCCTCACCTCGGCTGCCAGATTCACTCCTGGAACGTCCGCAGCTTTGCGACCCTCCAGTGGTGGTGTAGGAGCCTCGCTCGCCTCCCCAGGGCCTCTCGGTCTGTCCTCCGGCTCACTCAGCTCCGCCCCGGAGCCAAGCCTCGAGCCGCGATTGGCTGGAATGCTGCCCGCCGCGGGGCGCAGATTGACTGGGCGGGGCCACCCGCCTGTCTCCAGGAGACGGCCGACCCGCCCTCCCTTTCCGTGCGCCCGGGACCTTTTAAAGGATTCCGACTCTCCGGGGGGCGGGGCCACGTCTCTAGGGTGGAGGGTGGCGGGCACATCAAAACTGTTTCCTTCAAATCAGCTACTGCTCTCTGAAACCCTTTATACCAGGCCTGCAGTCCGTCACGGAGCAAGACTGGCTGCCGCGCCCCCCTCACCCAGCTTCGCGGGAGGGTGGGGCAGAGCCACTAGCGAAGGCCGCGTCCCCGGGGTTCCGAGGGCGGACGCTGCGGGGAGGATGACGCCGCTGCAGACCAGCCAATAGTTTGGCGCGGCGGACATTGCCTGGGCGATCTCAACCCACCCGTTGGTTTCCCCTGTGCTCCTGCCGCTCCCAAAGCGCTACCTCGCCGGCCCCCTTAATCTCCAGGAGTCCTCAGCAAGTCCTCTGGTGGCCCGTCCGTCCCGCATCCTCCTGACGCCCCATCCTGCCTCTCTCAGGATGGCAACTGCGCTGCTGGAGACTGGCTCCTGGCTCCCCACTACCCTGGGGACAAAGTCCAAACTCCTTACTTTTGCCACAAAGTCCTTCATGGTCTGGCCTGATGTACACTCCTCTTTGCTCCCTACTATCCTGCCACACCAGTTCACTTTGAGCTTTTCTAAAATGGCTTCAGGTGCCCTTCACTACCATGAACACAGATTTTGGTTTTTTTATTCTCTACTTTATCCCCAGCGCCTACAATAATGCCCACTACACAGCCAAGTACTAAAAAATGAGAATTAAAGGGCGTCAAATATATGGTAATGGATAGAAACTAGACTTTTGATGGCAAGCGCACAATACAGTATACAGATAATGAATTATAATGTTGTACACCTGAAATTTATACAATGTAATAACCCTGGCTTTGCCTCTAGCTCTGCTGAATCCCCAGCTGCACCTCTTCCAGGACTGGGTTAAAGGAAATGGGGCTTTGCAAACAGAAGGATGTAACTCCAAAATTTTCTACCACTGTGGGGGTCTCTGGAAATGCTTACTCCAGCAGCACCCCAAGAACTCCACTCCCACTAGCAATGGAGAAAGGGCATTCATGCATTTCTCTGATAACATACTAAAATAAAAATTAATTTAAAAAAAAAGGTTCTGGACCTTTCAACTTGTTTCCCCATTCTGAAAATAGACCCTCAATTCCCAGGCTGCCTCTCATCAGAAATTTCAAACGGTTCCTCTTCTTGGAAGCCCTACCTGATGCTCCAGGGTGAATCCCATGGTGTCCTGTGTTTCCCTCATTGCGGCCCTTTGCCCATGCTTCCCCCATCCTCGCCCTGGCTTGTCAATGTCTAAACTGTGGGCCCCCTGAGGACCAAGGTTATCTCGGTCACCAGCTGTATGGTCACAGCAACACCTAGCAGAGGGCTGGATGTGAAGCAGGCGCCCAGTGAAAGTTTGTTAAGTGCCCAGACACTGTGGAAGAGGGAAATAAAGAGGGCAGAGATGGAACAGTGCTAGTGCCCAAAAGGTTTGAACAAGTAGTGCCCCACTCCCAAAAGTTTTTTCCAGCCTACCCCAGACCAGTTCTCAGTGGTTGGAATTTGACAACCAAGTCATCCTGCTGTTTGCAGAAAGGATGTGATTGGAATGGATTTTGCCAGTGGTGGAGGTGGTGGTGGGGAAACAGTGTTGCAAGGGAGCTGGGGAGAGGCTGGAGGTAGCGAGAAAGGAGTGGCTCTCACTTGGGCCTGGGAAAGGTGTCTCTGGGGAACAAAGGCAGGGACAGTAGATTTCAGGGGACTATAATTAGAAAGGGACAGCCCTGGCCGGTTTGGCTCAGCGGTTAGAGCATTGGCCTGTGGTCCGGAGAGACCCGGGTTCGGTTCCCGCTAAGGGCATGTACCTCGGTTGCAGTTTGTCCCCGGCCCTGGTTGGTTGTGTGGGTGGCCACCACTCGATGTGTCCCTTTCACATCGATGTTTCTCTCTCTCTCTTCCTCTCTCTCCCTCCCACTCTACCTAAAACAAAAAGTGGAAAAATGTCCTTGGGTGAGGATGATAAAAAAAAAAAAAAAAGGGACAATTCTTTCATTCTCCCCTCCCAAACCTGTCCCTCCTCCAGAGTCCTCATCTCGGAGGCCCCACTGTAAACTGGCCCCCAGGTTACAGCCCTGTTTCCTCCTGGGTGCTGCCTTCCCCTCTCACTCTTGCTTTCCCTTCTCAAGGTTTCTGCCTGGTTCCTCTGCGCTCCCAGCTTCCACTCGCGCCCCCCTCCCACCCACCTTCACACAGTAACCAGGGGAAGCTTTATAAAACCCAAACCTGACTGTGCCCCATCTCCTCTTCCTGCTCCAGTCCTTGCATAAAACCTCAGAATACAGCTTCAACTTTACAATGATGCTGCACAATTTAGCACCCATGAAACACGCTCTTGGGTTGACCATCCTCACCTCTGAGAAAAGTATTATTAACTGTAGTTCTTCATGTGTTCTCCAGCTTCCTGGCCTTTGCTTATGTGGTTCCTGCTGCCCAGAATGCCATCATGCCTTAGCACCTTGTCCTGGCTCATTCTTACCGAGCTGGGTTAAGGAGGGCCCCTCTTCAGCAGAGCCTTGTTTGCTCCCCAAGTTAGGTCAGGTGTCCTCTCTGAGTTCCCACAGCCCTCTGTACTTCCTCCATCAGAGTCCTGGCCACTGTGGGTTGTCACGATCAGACTGAGGTCTGTAAAGGCAAGGCTCACAGCTGTCTTGGTCACCACAGGGTCCTTACGGTCACCACTAGGTCCCCAGCACAGAGCCGGGTGCAGGACAATAAACTGTAAGTGAGGAAATGAAGGAATACCCAGAAAATCTTACACACAGGGCAGACAGAGACACTGAGATACCCCAAAGCTAGAGTTGGACCTTCTAATATAATCTGAATCTTGGCTCAAGATTTATTGCTTCCTTCCTTTGTTCCACATTTCCCAGGATGTCCCACATTTCCCAGGATGTCCCACATTCCCCTGGACAGGGACAGAGCCCTAGTCATACTGGTGGGAAGGGTAGGTGCTGTGCCCGTCATATTCATCGGTGGTGAGGCAGCGCAGCATGAAGTGGCCCAGGTCATGTTTGGAGATGACCCTTGAGGGCCCTCGTCCATCTAGGGTCACTGTGTAGGCCCCAGTCAGTGGCTGGTCTCCTGCAAAGTAAAGATAGAAGGGCCGGGTGAAGATGTTCTTTCTTCATCCCCCACCACGTGATCACTACAATGATGCCCAGGGCGCCTACAGTGTGCCAAGCCCGAATGATATAAGAGCCAATAATGTGTGAAACCCTTCCCACATGTAGGGCACTAATCTATACCTTCTACTTCATTCATCCAAAAAACTTTTTTTTTTTTTTCCTCACCCGAGGACATTTTTCCATTTTTTGTTCAGGTAGAGTGGGAGGGAGAGAGAGGAACAGAGAGAGAGAGAAACATCGATGTGAAAGGAACACATCGAGTGGCTGCCACCCGCACAACCGACCAGGGCCGGGGACAAACTGCAACCGAGGTACGCGCCCTTAGCGGAAACCGAACCCGGGTCTCTCAGGACTGCAGGCCGACGCTCTAACCGCTGAACCAAACCGGCCAGGGCCAAAAAATTCTTATTGATGATCTATTATGTGTCAGGTGCTGGGCACCCAGCAAGAGACCAAACGGACAGGAATCCTTGCTCTCAGCATGCAGACATTCACTAGGCAAAGGAAGTACAACAGATAATAAGAAAGTACAACAGACAATATGTTCCATGGGAAGAAATAAAGCAGAAAATGGGCTAGTAACTATTTATTAGCTATAAATGGGGGCACTGAATCTTGGAGAGAGGAAGTCATTTCCTAGTGGCAAAGGTTAGATTTGCTCTGGGTCTCTCTGTCTGGATGCTTCCCTGTCTCTGGACCCCCCCGGGAGGACTGAGTGACATGTCCCAGGCGTGGGTCTGCATTTTATAGGCAGTGGTAGAGCACATGTTTCTGACCTTGTGAATATGGAGTTGGTGGGTCCTGATGCCAGGGGTACAAGTAAGTCTTAGACAGTGGAGACAGCAGACAGGCATGACCTGGCTGTTCCAGGGCATCTAGTGGCTGCCTTATAAGAATTTTAAAATAACACCTCCTAGCCTGGCTGGTGTGGCTTAGTGGTTGAGCGTCGACCCATGCACCTAGAGGTCGCTAGTTTGATTCCCAGTTAGGGCACAAGCCCAGGTTGTGGGCCCAATCCCCAGTGGGGGGCATGCAGGAGGCAGCCAATCGATGTTCTCTCTCATCAATGTTTCTATTTCTCTCTCTAAAATCAACAAAGAAAAATAAATTTTAAAAAAACAAACACCTGCCAGTGACCAACTTAACTTAGGGATCAAAGGCAGCACACTAGTTCAGGAACAACCTGGAATCATGTGCAATAAGAAACACACACCCTTACCTTTGTGGCATTCCTACCAAAAATGTTTAATATGTGTCTGCGAGAACACAACCAGAAGTCCAGACTTTGGGGCATTTAAAAAGACACTATACAACAAGAGGTCGCCGGTTCGATTCTCAGTCAGGACACATGCCCAGGTTGTGGGCCCAATCCCCAGTGGGGGGCATGTAGGAGGTGGCCAATCAGTGTTCTCTCTCATTGATGTTTCTTCCTTTTTTTTTTTTTTTTGGTACGTGCCCCTAGTGGGAACTGAACCCTGGACTCTCTGGTCAGCAGGTTGACGCTCCAACCGCTGAGCCAAACTGGCCAGGGCTCATTGATGTTTCTATCTCTCTCTCCCTCTCATTTCCTCTCTCTGTAAAATCAATGAAGGAAAAAAAAATTAAAAAAAAGAAAAAAGACACCAGGTCTGGTTCATGTTACAAGAAACATTAAAAGAAAGAAAGAAAAGGAGCCCAGCTTGTGTGGCTCAGTTGATTGAGCATTGTCCCATGCACCAAAAGGTCACGGGTTCGATTCTTAGTCAGGGCATCCGCCTGGGTTTCTGGCTCAATCCCAGTAGGGGGCGTGCAGGAGGCAGCTGATGGATGTTTCTCTCATTGATGTTTCTATCTCTCTTTCCCTCTCCCTGCCTCTCTCGTTAAAATCAATAGTAAAGGTATGAAGGACTATTCCAGATTTAAGCTGACAAGGCAACTAACCACAATGTGTTAACTGGACCCCCTGATTTTAAGGAGAGGAGGAGATCGAAAGATACATTTTGATAATCGGGAAAATTTGAATATGACATAGATACTAAATGAAAAGAGAGTTCACGTTAATTTCCCTGGTTCAATAATGGTCCTGTGGCTTGTACACAAATATTTTTCTTCTTGGGAGATGTCTATTGAAGTTTCTAGGAGTGAAGTGTGACAATGTTTGCAATTTACTCTCAGTGGTTCAGTCAAAAAATACTATTTTATGCATGCATGTACATAAAATATTGGATACATGCATAGATGATTGATAACTAGCCAGTACATATAGAGAAATAGTGCAAATGGAAACAGGGAAAAATGTTAAAAACGGAACCTAAATAAAGAATTTTAGGTATTCATAAACCTTGAATTCCTTCAACTTTTCTGGAGGTTTCAAAGTTTTCACACGCACACATACAAAAAAATGAAAAAAAGTATTCTGTGTTAAATAACTTTTAGGCATGACCTCTCTGGGTACTTACTTCAAACCTAGAAGGTCCAGAAAGAATGTGATGAGCACTGCTTGGAAACTGAGGCACACACAGAGACCAAGGCCTGAGTTTTCACTCAACCTCTCCACTAGCAGTTTACCACTGATTCAAATCTCAGGATCCTGGTATCGATGGGTTGCTGATACAATCACTTAACTGAATCTAAACACTGAAGCAGCCCTGACCCGTTTGGCTCAGCGGTTAGAGCATCATCATGCGGACCAAAGGGTCTTGGGTTCGATTCTTGGTCAAAGGTTTGATTCCCAATTGCAGGAGGCAACCAATCGATGTGTCTCATTCACATCAACGTTTCTCTCTGTGTGTCTCCCTCCTACTCTATCAAAAAAAAAATAAATAAATAAAAGGTCAATGGAAAAATATCCTCGGTGAGGAGTAACAAAAAAATAAAAATAGCTTGACTGGTGTGGCTCAGTGGATTGAGCGTTGTCCCATGGACTGGGAGGTCCCAGTTCAATTCTGTCAGGGCACATGCTTGGGTTTCAGGGCTCAATCCCCAGTAGGGGGCGTGCAGGAGGCAGCTGATCACATCCATATTTCTCTTTCTCTCTTCCTCTCTTTTTATTTATTTATTTATTTATTTATTTATTTATTTCCTCACCCGAGGACATTTTTCCATTTTTGTTCAGATAGAGTGGGAGGGAGAGAGAAGAGAGAGACAGAGGGAAACATCGATGTGAAAGAGACACATGGAGTGGCTGCCTCCGGCACGACCCCAACCAGGGCCGGGGACAAATCGCAACTGAGGTACCTGCCCTCGGCTGGAATTGAACCCGAGACTCATTGGTCTGCGGGCCAACGCTCTAACCGCTGAGCCAAACTGTCCAGGGCCCTTCCTCTCTCTCTAAAATATCAATAAAAATAAATAAACAAACACAGAAACTTATTTGACCCTCTGGACTCTAGAGGGTGTTGCCACGCTCCTATCGGGGCCCCAGAAAGCAGAGGGCAAAGCAGAACTATTCCTCCAGTAGGCCGGCGAATGGGAAGGAGCCCAAGGGTCACCGCACTGCTCGCTGTTCCCTCATCCCAGTGCCGCCTTCCCTCAGACCCTCGCCTGACTCCCTCCCTCACTGCACAAGCCAGCTCCTTACAGAGCCTGAGCTTCATAAACAGCAACCTCACTCCTCCCTTCACCATGTTTCTTCACTCACTGTCGCACTGCCCGCCAGTAATATCCAGCATCTCTTTCTCTCCCCCACTGGAAATGCAAGCCTCACAGGGCAGAGACTCTATCACCAGCGCTCGTTATGGTGGCCAGGTCCACAGTTCAAATGCACGAAACACCCATTGAATGCCTGGCTCGCTCCCTGTGTCTGACTCTGTCTCTCTCAGTGTGGATTCCAGACCTGGGAGGGGGAGAGAGGGCACAGGTGCTGTTTACTGGTTCCCTCCACACCACTGTGAGAGGTGGTTCCCCTGTATCAGTTCATCCGACAAACATTTACTGAGCATCTACTACATGCCGGGTCCTGTTCTAGGTGCTAGGAACACAGCTGTAATCTAACCATCTAACCAAGACAAGATCCGCTCCTCCAAACAGGTGACATCCCAGTGAGGGAGACACACACTGAATAAGATAAAGAAGTGATGTGACATGTGTGGTGAAGTGTGAGTCCCCATCCTCGGAACTGACTTCTAATAAACAGAATGGAGCGGAAGCAGCACCGAGAGCTCTGGCCCAAGGGGAGGCCGTTACAGGTGTTCCAGTGACAGTCCTATCGACCACCACCGTGCCCGGGAGGAAGTGTTCCCCGTGACTCCAGTCCCAGCAGCTGCGCAACTTCAGGCGTGGGCCTTCCCGAGCCTAGTCAGCTCTGGGTACTGAGACAGTCATCATCAATGAGAGTAGTTTGTTCAACAGAGATAAGCAAATATGTTAGAAAGGAGAATCAAATAAAGCAGGAAAGAGGATAGAAAGTGTGAGGGGAAGGTGTGTAATTTTAGACGGGCCAGGCAAGGCCTGGTGGATGTCTCCTGAGGACTGGAGGGGGCGGGCTGGTGGCGACCTTGCCGCTGGGTCCTAGCCCCACTCACCTATGTGGGGCGGCATCACAGCCACGTACTTCAGACCTGAATCCTGCAGCACCTTGTGCATCCGGATGTGGTCATCGGTCACATCCTGTAGTCGTGGGGGCACCTTGGTCGGGTCCCATAGCAGGAAGGCTGGGGGGACACAGGGCAGGGTCAGCCAAGGCATGACAGTCTGACCAGGCCAGTTTGGTGCCGGGACAAACCCCACAAGGGCTCACCGCTGCCTTCTAGTTGCTCCAGGCTCAAACTGTTTCTCTCAGCCCACGTAAGAGGTGACCACTTCCCACCTGACTTGCTTCTGTCCACTGTCCCCTCCTGCCTGGAACATGGCAGTAGCCTCCTCCCTGGTCTCCCTTCCTCTGTCCCCACAATCTGTTCCCTGAATGCAGCCAGGAGGGGCCCGTGAACACCCGGAGGGGTTGGAGCTCATTCATGGCTTCCTCTCACTCAGGGTAAAAGCTAAGCCCCCATCAGGGCTCACAAGGCCCCACCTGATCTGGCCCCTTCAGCCCTCTGACCTCACCACCCAACACCTGCCCCTTCACTAGCTCTGCTGAAGCCGCACTCGGACCTCAGAGCCTTCCCAAGTGGGCTGCTCCCTCTGCCCAGAGTCCTGTTATCTCACCACGTAGCCCTCCCTCATGTCGCTTCCCTTTCTGAGGGGCAACTGGTATGAGGACAGGTGGGAGTGTGCACCGTGGAGACAGCCAGCCAGCTCTGCAGGCACAAGCGGTGTGTACTTGGGCAGGCCGATGGGCCTCACCGCCTCCACCGCTATTTACTGAGCACTTACTATGCGCCACCACAAGCATAAGTGCTCAAAAGAGGTTTGTGAGGATGAAGAGGCATTCATCTCTAAGGCACTCAGGTGGTGCCTAGTACACAGTAAGTGCTCAATAAGTGCTACCTGTTAGTATTAAATGCTCCTGCTATGTATACTACAGCCTTCTTTTTGGATTATTTGGGGCAACTGTTTGTTTAATGTCCATCTTCCTATAAATGGGGAGTTCCGTGAGGGTAGAGACTTGGCCTGTGAATCCACAGCTCTGTCTCTTCCCCTAGAAGGCTCTCTAACCTCCTCTCAGGAAGTGTTAGGTGTCTCTGCTGGGTTCCCAGTCCTCTAGGCTTCCCCCTCTCCTGGCCCTGACCTCTCTGCCTGGGCCCCCTCCCCACGATCCTGGCCCTGACAATTGTGGCCTGTCACTGTTTGATGATGGCTCTGTTTACCACTTCCCTGTCGTCTGTGAGATCCTTCAGTGTAGGGCTCAGGGCTACACTAGCAAGGTTCAGGTACACAATTGGTGCTCAATAAATGCACAGTAACTTGGAATGGCTCCAATGCCACCTTGCAAAGGCTCGTGGGTTGCCTGTCCAGTTACCGCCCCCTGCCCTTCAGCCCCACCCCTATGACCCCACCACCCACCCGAGGTGCAGGCCACGACCTTGTCCACGCCATGGGCCTTCATGGCCGCCACAATGTTCTGGGCACCCTCGGACATCACCGTGGTAGGACCTTAGAGGGGACAGAGAGTGGCTGTCACTGGCAGGCGGCGGCGGTGGTGGTGGTGGGGGTGGCAGGGGTGGGGCCGGGGGTGGGGGTGGTGCTGGGGGCCGAGGTGCAGGTGGGGGCCTTGGGCAGAGGGGGGGCCCAGTACTGAGGTCATTGCCGGTGCCCAACAGCACGATGACAGCGTCCTGCCCAGCCACGGTTTTGTCCACATCGGCTGCCTGCCGAACATCGCCCACTACCACGTGGGCCGGCTGGGGCCCCTCCGAGGGCAACCTGGAGGAGTCGCGCACCAGCACTGTCACCTCATAACCTGTGGGCAAAGAAGGGCAGAGATTCCAGTCAGGTCATATGGCTAGGTTGTGGGCTCAATCCCCAGTAGGGGGCATGCAGGAGGCAGCCTATTGATGATGTTTCTCTCTCATGGGTATTTCTCTCCCTCTCCCTTCCTCTCTCTCTAAAATCAATAAACACATATTTTTAAAAATGTGGTAGATCCATACAGTGTATTCAATAAAAAGAAATGACATACTGCCCTGGTCGGTTTGGCTCAGTGGTTGAAGCATTGGCCTGCGGACCAGAGAGACCCGGGTTCGGTTCCCGCTAAGGGCATGTTCCTCAGTTGTAGTTCGTCCCGGCCCCAGTTGGGTCGTGTGGGTGGCAACCAGTCGATGTGTCTCTCTCACATTGATGTTTCTCTCTCTCTCTTCCTCCCTCTCTCCTTCCCATTCTATCTGAAGATAAATGCAAAAATGTCCTCGGGTGAGGATAAAAAAAAAAAAAGAAATGGCATACTGATACATGCTACAACATGGATGCACCTTGAGAAAGAATTATTTGCTAAGTGAAAGAAGCCAGTCACAAAGACCCACGTATTGTATGATTCCATTTGTATGAAATATCCAGAACAGGCAAATCTACAGAGGCAGAAACTAGGTTAGTGGTTGCTGGAGGAGGGGTTGGGCGGGAAATGTGGGTGACTTCTAGGAGTTTCTTTGGGGTGATGAAAATGTTCTAAATTGATTGTGATGATGTCTGCACAAGTCTGTGAACATGCTGAAAACCACCGACTTGTATACTTCAAAGGAGTGAATTGTACAGTGTGTGGATTATACTGTAATCAGGCTGTCATAAGAGTACAAAACTAAAACAAATGAAAAGTTTGGAGGAGTGTCTGGCACAGGAACGAGCGCTGTTGGCTGTTACTGTGCCTTTTAATCATCTCATCCTGGCCTGGTCTAGTCCTCCCCAGGCTCCTGACCCCTGTCTCATCCTCTACAATCCATATTTCACACAGCAGAGCCTTCCATAGAAGTGCCCATCTCCTCAGATCCCTCCTGGGATACCCGGTGCCCTGAGATAAAGTCATCACGACTGCCTTCAAGGCCCCCCCAGGATCTGGCCTTTCTTCCTCCCCACCCTGTGCTGGGGCCACTGTCCTCTTCTTTCAGTTCCTCAAACACGCCATGCTGCTTCCTGGCCTTTGCACGTGCTATCCCCTCTGCCTGGAATACCCTTTACCTCCTTTCCCCGGGTCCCTCCAGCCACTTGTGCTTCCTCTGTCATGGCCCTACTTATGCTGACCTGGAAAAAACCAAGGGCCCTACAAGCCCAGGGACTGTGTCATATTTGGCACCAGCTCCCTGACTTTTTTTCTTTTGTTGTTGTTAATCCTCACCCAAGGATATTTTTCATTGATTTTTAGATAGAGTGGAAGGGAGAGAGGGAGGGTGAGAGAGAGAAACATTGATGTGAGAGAGATACATCGATCGGTCACCTCCTGCATGACCCTGACAGAGGCTGGAGATCAAACCTGCAACCTAGGTATGTGCCCTTGACCAGGATATAAACCTGTGACCCTTTGGCCCACAGGCCAATGCCCTAACTGCTGAGCAAAACCGGTCAGGGTACTCCCTGACTTTTTATCAACACAAAAGCACAGGCTTTACTGCCCCAAAGATCTGAGTTCAAACTCTAGTTCTGTCACTGGCTGAGGAACCTGTGGAAACCCCTTTTAGTCTTCTCTAGAAAGCGAAGATCATCAACTTTGTAAGGTATATAAATGTCTAATCACTATGTTGTATACCTGAAACTAATATATTATATGTCAACTGTAATTGGAAAATAAATAAATTATTTTAAAAAAGAAAAGAGCTCAGCTGATGTGGCTTAGTGGTTGAGCATCGACTCGTGCACCAAGAGGTCACTGGTTCGATTCCCTGTCAGGGCACATGCCCAGGTTGTGGGCCCGATCCCCAGTGGGGGGCATGCAGGAGGAGACCAATTGATGTTCTCTCTCATCAATATTTCTCTCTCTCCCTCTCCCTTCCTCTCTCTCTCTTAAAATCAATAAAGAAAAATAATTAAAAATAAAAGAAAGTAAAGATCACAATCCCGTGTCCCCATCCTGTGTGACCACCTTTCCTAAGGAAAGGACAAAACTGTGTGCCCTCACATGCATCTGGGAGCAGCAAGGCTTCAGTGTGCCAATGTGGGCACTGTTTAACTGCCACTGTATTGGTTAAGACAGATCCTGGTAAACTGTGGGTATTTTGGGGGAACACATGTTCTCACAGACAGTGAAAGCTTTGACACAAGATCTCAGCACAAGGGTGGCCATCGGCGCTACAATATTGGTGATCAGTGACATTTGAGAAGTGCTGTGCTAAACTCTTTTTTCAGATAAATGTGGGTTTTCCTCCCCTGAATTTTTCCACAACCAACATTTAATTTTACATTTAAATATAAGTTAGTGGCTACCATACCAAACAGTACAGGTTTAGAATGCACAGATTTTACCCTTTACAAAGAATAAGAGCATTTGTAAGGTATTTCCCAACCTTTCTTTTCTTTTCTTTTTTTTGTTTTTACAAATTTCTTACTTTATTTACAGTTTTCTATTCATTTTTTATTTTCATATAAATTCAGACCTATAGAAAAGCTGCAAGACCTTGATTTTCATATTGCTTTTGCTTTACCCTTCTCTATGTCTCTGTACATATATATGTATGTATGTATACTTATAATATATATGTGTATATATAAATATATTGATACATGTACATAGATAATTATATATATATAACATATATCTAATGTTTTCTTAACTAGTTGAGAGTAAGTTTCAGAGATCATGCCCCTTTTAAACTCTTTTGATCTCAACCCTCAATACAAAATATATGTCACAACCTAATCCTGTATACACAAACCCATAAAACCAATATTTAACATGTGATACACTCAGATACTGTTGTGACCAATTGCGTATATGTCAGAACTCACTATGACCCACAGTTTGAAGAGCACCAGATTGCATCGACCTTACAAGGTAGGTATTACTATAATGCGTTTTGAAGATGGGGAAACTGAGGCAACTTTAGGTAATTGGGCCAGGATCACACAGCTATGATCTAAGCTCACTCAGTCAAGGAGTGCTTATTGAGCACCAGCTATGTGCTAGCCACGGTTCTAAGCACTTTCCATATACTATCTCATTTAATCATCACAAGAGCCCCAGGGAAGTGCTACTGGTGTCATCCCCACTTAACAGATATTCAGGTATGCGGACAACAAGGCATTTGGCCACAAAGGTGGTTAAGTGGCAGAGCTGGGGTTTGAATGTGGGCAGGATAGCATCAGGGTCCGCGCCTGTTAGGAATTCAGCCCCACAGAATCAATGAGGTAAAAAAAGGCCCAGCTCATTCAACAGGAAGGCTCTGAGCTGTGCAGGGTCTTGTCAGAGCGATAATGACAAGACCCAGGCCCTAGCTCTCAATTCTCCAGGGTGCAGTCCCAATTGTGACCAGCAGGGTGGATAAGCAGAATTCAGTGGAATCAGGATTAAGGAAAAAGCAGTAGTTAACATGGGAACCTAGATCCTCAGGGTGACTCAGCACTTGTTAACTACTCCTTCTTACTTCCTCCCCCACAAATGTGTATCAGCAAATTTGGTTTCTTCCCTCTCACAAGTCAAGATCCAAAATAAGTCTTCCTGGGGAAGGGGGAGAGCAGTGGGCCTAGTGGGTATCCTTCAGGCAGAGTCCCTCCAAGGGAGGGCTCGGCTAGGAGACAGCAAAGAGTGGAATTTTGGTGGCCTCCACACTTTTGGGACACCCAGATAGTCAATATCTTCTGACTCAACAAGACCAGCAAGGGTGGGGCCCTATATCTGGAAGTCCCAGGCCTAGCTGGGTGTTGGTGAAGTCTGGACAGTGGGGGCAGAAGGCTGCCCAATTATGCTCTTTCCTGGCCCCTTTCCTGGGGCAACTCTGAATATTCAGCCTCACTGACTTTCCAAGGTCCCCAAGTCTTTACCCACGTCTCTGATCCTTTTTCCATTAGATGGTCCCAGCACCCCCCTCCCCCAGCTTTTCAACCTCCAGCCTTGGTGTCCAAGCCAAGAGCTGGCGGGGTTTTGGCGGTTAAGAACACAGGTTGGGTTCAAATCCCAGCACTGTCACTTTCCAGCAGTGTGGCATTGGGCAAGTCACTCTCCTCCCCTGTTTCCTCATCTGTGAAGCGAGGTGATACTAGATCCCAACCCACATTTAGTGCTGTGCGGATTTAACAGTGCGAGGAGAGGGCAGTGCTGGGAGGCACGCGCTGCCTGACTTAGAAGCAGCAGCAGCACCACCACCACCACCACCACCACGATAATAACACGTCATAAGCGCCTAGATTTAAACCTCTCATTGGAGTCCCCAGCTTCCCAGGGCCAATTCCTATTCCTTGAACTCACATAAAATTGGATCTCATAACGTTCCCATTTCTGCCCCCGTGCCCTCTAGGTCCTCACACACCAAGGCACCGATGGGCTCAACCTCGGCCCGACCCGACGATGCCCCTTTCTAGCGCTGCGCCTGTGCACCCGGTGACGTCTCCCGCCCGCCCCAGCTCATGCCTGCTTGCACCGCCTGAGCCAGCGTGGTGAGCCCGGTCCTGCCGGTGGCGCCGAAGATGGCAATCTTCTTGACGGCCATGCTGCGAGGTCGTGGGGGTGCGAAGCCGTGGAGTCTCAGGACGCGCGGGAACCGACTGGCTGCTCGGCCGCCCTCTACGTCCTTCTCTAGCCGGAGGGACGGGCGGTAAGGCTCAGAGGACCACGCCTCCGCCCGCCCCTGGGCTCCCGGCTCAGGCCGGGGGCGGGGCCAAACGGGCCACCCTTCTGGCTAGAAAGAGCTGAGTGGGCGGGGCAGGCGACAGCTCGAGCCTCTTGCGGCCCAGCACCGCCCCCTCCGCCCACCGCTTAGACTGGGAGGTGTGGCCGAATCTGACCGACAGGAAAAGTGGATTCAGTGCCCCGCCTCCGCGCTCTTGTCCCCAGGGTGGGGCGGGGCGAGGGGGCCACGCCCATGGGTCTCCTAGCTTATACTTCTTCTCCCAGGGCCTACAGTTGGGTCCCGGACTCAATCTGCTCCCCAGGGCCCCCACAAGAGGAGCAAGTGAGGGAGGACGGTGTGGGTGTGCGGGTTTGACACTGTGTAACTGCGTGTCTATGTGTCCGTGTGACTGTAGCCCCAAAGGAGAGCATGACTGTGGTGACACCATTTGCCATCCTTTGTGTGTAGCGCCGTGTTATAATGGGAGACTTTGTGTGACAACACGTGTGGCAAGCACTGATGCTGTTCTTGTGTGACCTTGTGTTGACACTCGGTGACACTGTGTCAGTCTGTGATGCTGTATGCATCCACGACTCGGGGACATGGTGTGAGTGTGGGACATGTATGAGATATGTTATGAGAGTGTGTGACTGTTAGGTTGTGACAGTGTGATGCTGCAGGTGTCATGTCAGGATGTGTGACACTGTGACCCCATTTGAGTGTGTGGCTGTGGCTGTTGGTGTTGTGATGCTGTTTGTGAACTCCTGTGATGTGATGTATGAGTGTGTGATAGTGCAGGATGTGTGACCCCCATGTGAGTGTGACTGGTGTGACAAATGTGAGTGTGTAAAATGTATGTGATACCGTGTGATTGTGGAGTGTGTGATATGTGACTATATGGCACTCTTTGTGACACCCATAGGAGTGTGAGGCAGTGTGTGACATGTGTGTTTGTGTGTCACACTGCATGGGTGGTGGTGGTGGCACTACTTCAGTGACACAGTGTGTGACGCTGTCGGGCACTGTGCCAGTGTGGGACCCAGTGTGAGCATGTGATTGCGTGAGTTTGTATGTTTGACCCTCTGTGACCCCTATATGAGGGGGTGACACTGTGAAAATGTGGATGTTTGTGATACTGTATGTGATCCTCTATGTGTGACAGTGGAGTATGTGACTGTGTGTGATGCTACCATTGGCACCCACGAGTACACCTGTGTATCACACGCCGCGGCCGGGAGTGTGACCACGCGTGGGCCCACGCAGCAAGCGGCCGGAGCTGCGGGGGACGCGGGCGGGAGGGGGTCCCGGGGGCGCGCGAGCGCGGCGGCCGCGCGAGCGGGGGAGGCGCGGCGGCGGCGGCGGCAGCGGCGGCAGCGGCGGCAGCGGCCACGGCGGCGCATGCGGATCTGGCCGAGCAGCGGGGCGGGCGAGGCCGAGCGGAGCCGGGCCGCTCCGGGCCGGGCCGCGGACGCCGACAGGGAGGGCGGTCGGGCGCCGAGAGAGCGGGGACAGCGGCACCAGCGGCCGCGGGCCCAGGTGAGCAACGTGGGGGCGGATAGCCCCTCCCTGCAGCATCTCCCCACCTGCCCGAGCATCCCTCCCACGCGCGCGCTGTGGCGGTGGCCTGAGCCCCCAGGGTCTCCCTGGCTGTGGGGAGGAGAAGGGTCGAGGGCAGAATGAGCCCCCACCTCCCAACCCAGTCTATTCTCCGTGCCATGCGTGGGTCTTCCACCCAGGCCTTGTCCTTCCCAGGCCCCCCTCCTTGGGAACAGTGACTAGACTGCAGGGAGAGAGAGGCGCGGCCTCAGAAAGGTTGAAGCATCTGCTCCCACCTTCAGGGTTGCACTCCGCCAGCCTTTGCTGGAGCTACAGGACACCCCTTTCCACCCTTCACCGTCAACCGCCTTCCTCTCTTTTCTTTCTGCATTCAATCACGTAATGGCCAGGGCTGCTCCAGGGCTGTTCCTTCCCCAAGTGTTCTCTGTTGAGGAAACAATTATGTTAACTATTGAACAGGGAGGGAAACTGAGGCCCAGAGAGGCCAAACTAAAGATGTTGGGTTACAGATACAGCAAGAGTAAAGCAGGACTTGAACTCATTTCTGTCTGACTCCAGCACAGGCACTTTGATTTGCTGTGTGACTAGAGGATGGAAATACTAGCAAGGACCATGTTTTGAGGGCTTATAGATACTAGCTAACATCTTCCTGCATTATTAACTCATTTCGTCTTCAAACACCCCTAGGACATGGGTACTATTATAATTACCATTTTATAGATGAACAAATTGAGGCCCAGAGAGGGGAAGTGATTTGGCCAAGGTCACACAGGTGGTAAGTAGCCATGTGCCTACTTACAACTTTCCATGGAAGAAGGGAAGAATAACAATGGATTTTGGAGTGTCCACCTAAAGAGACAATCTCTATTACACGGATCAAGACCTAGACCCTGCCTTCCTAGAATCTGGTGGGTTGGCAACTATCTGAATCTTTTGAGAAGGGAGACATTGATTTCCTCCCTGTTCCTTCCTTTCTGAGTCACAGAATCAAGCCTGGGGTCCCAGAGGGCAGAGGAGATGTATCTGATGGTGCCCCCCCCCCCCCCGCCTTAAATTTGCAATCTGGTCGTGCTCTTGAGCATAGCTCTGGAGTGAGATAATATGTCAGTTAGCTATTGCCACAAGAATGCTGCATAGGAAACCACCCCCAGACTCAGGGTCTTAAAACACTTAAGCATTTATGTAGCCATTGGAGTCTGAGGTCAGTGATTTAGGTTGGGTCCATCTGGTTTATTCGCATGTTAGGGCGGGGAAGGGGATGTGGACTGTTGGCTGGTCTTGGCTGGAAGACCTGGGGCTTTGGCCCTGGGCTAGCCTTGCAGTGTTTTTCTCATGGGCACAGTTAAGCACAAGCAAAAACATTCATGGTCTCTTGAGTCCTAGGTTCAGAACTTACCAGCCCTTCCACCTAATTCTGTTCATCAAAGCCATGTGGCCAAACCCAGAGTAAAGGGGTGGGGCATGTACCCTCACCTCTATCTTCCATCCCTCCCACTGCCACAGTTGGAGGACACTGAAGAGTTACATGACAAAGGGTGTGGCTATAAGGAAGAATTGGAGCCATTAATGCAATTATTGGGTCCCAGTGTCTGCATTTGAATCCCGCTACTGACTAGCTATGTGACCTTGGGCAAGTGAATTCACCCCTCTGTGCCTCAGTTTCCTCCTCTGTGTAGTAGGCCTAATAATAGCCTATTTTGAGGGAATTTGTGGAAATTGAATACAATAATGCACATAAAGTACCGAGTACAGTTCAAGTGCTCAATACATGTTAATTATTATTGTTACCATATTTTAGAGTTCTGTTGATAACAGTGTTATCATTCTATCAACCATAACAGTGACAATTTGCCACGCCCCTACCCTGTGCCAGCTAAGCCAGGTGCTTTACCACAGCCCTATGGCCTGGTCAGGGTGAATATTATTGTCATTATTATTATGTCCATTTTATTTTATTTATTTATTTTATCCTCACCTAAGGACATTTTTTTTTTTTTTTGCATTTATTCTCAGATAGAGTGGGAGGGAGAAAGGGAAAAAGAGAAAGAAACATCGATGTGAAAGAGACATATCGAGTGGCTGCCACCCACATGACCCCAACCGGGGCCAGGGACAAGCTGCAACAGAGGTAAGTGCCCTTAGCGGGAACTGAACCCAGGACTTTCTGGTTCGCAGGCCAACGCTCCAACTGCTGAGCCAAACCAGCCAGAGCTATTATGTCCATTTTAAAGACAGGGAAGCTCACTCAGCTGGTGTGGTTCAGTGGTTGAGTGTTGTCCCATGCACCAAGAGGTTGCCAGTTCAATTCCCGGTCAGGGTACATGCCCAGGTTGTGGGTCCGATCCCCAGTTGGGGGGCATGCAGGAGGCGGCCAATCAGTGTTCTCTCTCGTTGATGTTTGTCTCTCTATCTCTCTCCCCCTCCCCATTCCTCTCTCTCTAAAATCAATAAAGAAAAATAAATAAATAAATAAAAATAATAAAGACAGGGAAACTGAGCACTAGAGAGGAGATAGGATTCACAGCATCACTGTTAGAAGTGGGATCTCTGAGCTCAGGCCCTGCTTCCTGCCCTAACCTGCCTCTGCCCATCCCCAGGCCTCACCTTCCCTGATGGCGCAGGTACCAGGGGAAGTGGACAACATGGACGGCCTGCCGGCCTCTAACAACAACAACCCCGTAGCCCGGTGGGAGAGCCCGGATCGGGGCTGGGAGCGCGAGCAGCCCTCCATCTTTGAGTGCTCCCGGATCAAGGCCTTAGCAGGTACCTTGGAGAGGGCAGGGGTGGGAGAGAAGAGGGAGGGAAGAGAGGGGCCTGCTGGGGTGTTGTCTGTGTACCTCGATGCCTGAGAACCTTAATGGCCTAGAGGATGGCCTAGAACTTGAATCTTTAGACCTGCACTGTCCAATAGAACTTTCCATGATGACCGAAAAATGTTCTCTATCTGTGACGTCCAATACACTGAGCACTAGTACTTTGTGGTTATGAACACTTAGAGCGTGGCCAGTGCTACCTGATGGACTGACTTTGTAATTTTATTTAGTTGTAATTAGTTTAAATTGAAATAACCACATGTGGCTTGTGGCTGCTGTATGGGGCAAGGCAGCCTTGGGACGTTAGAGATTGGTACAGTCCCAGAGGTGTGAGATTTTGTAAGCGTACTTCCTTGGAATCCTGAAATGCTGAAATGCCGGATTTTAGGACCTTAGCATGTCAGACTCAGAGATTCTTTGAACCTAAGACCTTTAGAAACAGAGACGCTCATAAACAGAATTTTATAATCACGGGCCTTAGAAATGTTAATCATTGGCTCCTAGGATCTCAGACCCTTCAAAATCTAAACTCGAATACAGATAGGTCCTTAGAGCTTTATAATCCTAACCCTTTAGAATTTTCTGATTAGAAATGTGGATCCTGAGAACTTAGAGATAGAATGAGCCCTGGCCGGTTTTCTCAGT